GGGGGGGGGGTTAAATCATTCTGGGGCTAAGGACTCTAGGATAAAACCCTGCAAGGACAGAGAAGACACTTGTCTGGGATGGTTTAGACAAGGCTGATCCCTCCTGAATGAGGGGTTGGGTCCTGATGACCTCCTGAGGTCCCTGCCAGCCCGAATTCTCCATGATTCTCCAATTTTTCTCATTGAGGGGTGCAGAAAAAAGGACTGCGCTCATTCGCATACCACATGCCCACAAGTCAGACACATCCTTTTTCGGGGGAAGAGAGAACGAATGAAGCAAAGACTCCCCCTTTAGCCAAACTGCCCTGATTTGGGTTTGCAAATTGAAGATGTGCATCCCAATTTTCAAAGGCTAAATTTAGGGGAAGAGGGGTGTGTGATAGAGCAGGAGATAAGGTCGTTTCTCAGCCAGCCCCTGCCCGGGTAAAGGGTCCAGACGACGGCCTGCTTCTCTGCACAGGAAGCTCAGCCTTACCGGGGACACGGATGTTGGATGGAAGGGAGCATTGTACTTACAGCAGCGCCGGAGGGGCCGGGACGTCCTCTCTCGCCGGGCAGGCCGCGGGGACCCTGGGAAAGAATAAGGAAGAGAGTGAGGCTCTGCTGGCCATCACAGAGGTGCTGGGGGACATTGAGTCTTTCTAGTGACATCGGAAAGCTTGGGAGAGACTGGAAATGGTGGGGGGTCCTGCTTCGCCGTCGACCTGTTCCAGCCATTTGGATCCAGTGTGTGTTAGAGCAGCCTTGCACCTGCTCTAGGTTATAATTTGCTTTGCTAGGAAGCAAAGAGCAGCTGCAAGCCAGTGCTGTCCCCAGCACCTTTGCATCAGGGGGTCTTGTCCTCAACAGGACACCTCTGGTGGTATAGAAGGACCTTTGTCCACAAATCAGTCAGCCCCTGTGCTGGGCGATGCCCCCAGCACCTGCCCAGAGATGGAGTCAGGAGGGCAGTGCAGCGAGCTGTCTGCTCCTCTCCCCTGGGGAGTGCAGGCCTCTGGTGCAGCTCCAGACAGGTCGCTGCCCACCCCTGTGCCTCAGTTTCCCCTGCAGTCTAATGAGACTGTTCATGCTTCAGCACTGGGGCTATGTCCCACGAGGCGTTTGTACAGCACTGAGCGCGGCAGGTTGATGATTTCTGCCCAGCTGCTGATGGAAAGTGGATTGGAAGAAGGGAACAGGAGTCAGCGCTGTGTTGCCTTCCAAGGCCATGTTGCTCGGTGGGGCTGGGCTGCAGAGGGGAGGGGTGACCCTAGGCCAGGGGCTCCCCTCTGCCTGTGTCTTGTCTGTTCAGACCGAGGGCTCTTTGGGCAGGGCCGATCGTTTGCTCTGTGTTTGTACAGCACCTGGCGCATGGAGCCCTGATCTCAGCAGAGGTGTGTACCACACCCAGAGCCAGGATCTCTCAGCAGAGGTGTGTACAGCCCCCAGCACTGCCTCCAGGTTTCAATGTGACACCTACTCACCATGGGACCGGGGGAGCCGTTCTCACCAGCTGATCCTGTTTCACCCTGGAAGGGAAGGAGCAGAGAGTGAGTCTCCAGCCTGCCTCAAGCCTGGGCCTACGGTGAAGCACGGACTGGGCCCAAGTCCGCCCTGAACCCACTGGTGAACCACACAGGTAAAGAATCCACCTCTGGGGGCACCTTGAGGCTGGGGGAAGATGCGGGGCTAGAGATGGGGGCATGGGGATAAGGGGTCCTACTAGGATTAGGGGAGGAGATGGAAAGAGGCTGGTGGGCAAGATCCAGTGAGGAGAAGGGCAGAGGATGTGGGACACCAGTAGGACCATGGCCCGTCCTCTCTGCACTGAGCTCCAGCACCAGAGGCCCGGACCAGCCCTGCACGGTGCCCTGCCACTAACCTTGGACCCTGCTGGGGACACCGAGAGCCACAGCTGTCCACCCACTCCCACGGCCAAGCCTCTGTCCATCTTGGCATACATCCCCCCGCTTTCCCCATCATCCACACCAAGGCATAATCCTCTTGCCATCCAGCAGTCCCAGTGCATGCACCTCTGTCTGTCCATCCATCCATCCATCCATCCATCCATCCCAATGCATATCACTCTGCCTGTCTGTCTATTCATCCAACCACCCCCATGCCTAGGCCTCTGTCTACCATCCAACCATCGACCCTTCCATCTCTTCCTTGTCCATCTCTCCCTCCCTGCCTCCCTCTCTCCATCAACCCTGAAACATACTCCCTTCCATCCATCCATCCATCCATCTCAGTGCCTACCTTCTACCCATCCATCCCAACACTTTCCCTTCCATCCATGCATCCATCAGTCCAGACCCATCTTTACTCACCAGTTGATCCAGCTCCCAATCCCTGTCTATCCAGACCTCTGTCTTCTCCCACCAGCCATTCCAGCGCTATCTGCCTCTCTATCCTCTGCCTTCTCCCTGGTCTCTGGCTGGAGTGGAGCTAACGCCCGAGCGGTGAGGCTCCGACATGATGAGAGCTCAACCCCAACTTCTGCTAAAAGGGAGCTGGTAGGTGGAGGGGGCACGGTGCCTGCCTTGCTGACCTGGGAGGCCCCTTCTTGCCCCACGTCCCCAGGCTGGTTGTCCCCCGCACCTGCTTCTGCCACTGACTTCCCGCCAACCTTGGTCATGTTCCTTCATCCCGCAGGCCTCCTGCTATTTCAGCTGCAGCCTCTAGTGGGCAGCGTCTGTCAGTCCAGTTCCCCTCACCACCCTAACGATGAGCAGTAACGACCTCCCCCTGCTAATCAGTGTCATTTGGGGCATTAGCTCACCTTGGCGCCGGGGGCCCCTGCTTCTCCCTTGGCTCCATCCAAGCCAGGGTAGCCCTAGAAGAGAAGGAGACAATATTTACACTCCGGACAGCTGTGAGATGAGAGAGAGACCGAGGCGGCCGGGGCGACCACTTACCCTGTGCCCTTTGACTCCAGGCAGGCCGGGGGTCCCGGGGAAGCCTCGAGCACCCTGAAAGCAGAGAAGGGGAGGTCATCATGGGGGAAAGGCAGGGAAGAGGGGACCGAGGGACCTGTTTCTCATGGGGGCTCAGCAGGGATGTTGCTACAATCTCCTGGAACCACCTGCAGCTACCACGTATGGCTGCTTGTTAGGGTAACGCGTGGAGCCCAGCGGAGAACACACAGGGCCAGAGCGGGGTGTCACATACGGCCAGAGTGGGGTAACACGTAAGGCCGTACAGGGGGACGTATAAATCCAGGTTAGGCTAGCACATGGGATGAACTAGCTGGGGCTGGTCCTACTTTGAGCAAGGGGTTGGACCCAATGTGACCCTGTGAGGTCCCTTCCAGCCCTCACTGTCTGTGATTCTTCGGGGTCGCATAGGATAAGATGGGCCTATATCATGTAACATGGAAACCTCTGTATGGTAACATAGGGACAAAAAAGGTGGCTATAGAGATCCAGATTAAAGTAACAGGCAGGGTCATTTAAGGTAACAGATGGGGCCATATAGTGTAATATATAGGGTCATATAAGGTAACTTATAGGATAAGGTTAGAGCTACATACAGGGCCAGAGCAGGGCACTATGTAGACACTTCTGGGGTAATACAGAGAGCCATATAGGGGAATATATAGACCCAGGTTAGAATGATATATAGGGCCACATCTGGGGTGACCTATGGGGCTATCTAAGGCTATAGAGGGCAACCACTGGTGGGGAATGTGTAGCATAAGCAGGGTAGCCTGCAGGGCTGTGTGGTATAACAGAGCCAGAGGAGAGTGACCCACGGGGCTTGGTAAAGGGGCTGGATCTTCACAGGGCTGGGCTCAGCCTGATCCGGAGCCCTGGATCCGAACTGTCCTGTTCCTATAACAGCCTGGGCCCCCCCACGGTAAATGGGTGCTGGCTTGAAGCTGGGGCGAGCCCTGCCTTGGATCCATGCAGCCCCAAAGCCCCATCTCCACCCCATTCCCCGAGTTCCCCCTTCCTGCACAGCCATGTCTCCAGGCCTGGCTGCCTCCTGCTGCCCGTACCTGGGGGCCGGGGGTTCCACGCTCTCCAGATTTGCCAGGCTTGCCTGATTCACCCTGTGGGAGAGAGACACAGAGAAGAAACCCCCTTAGCCTCCATCAGGGCAATCACAGCGAAGCTCGACTACAGGGAGCCGGAGCTGGTAGAGGGGATGGTGCAGGGCAGGCACCGCATCCAGCCTGCACCCTCCAGGCTAGAGCCCGGGACCCGAGCACAACGCTGCCGCGAGCAGCCGGCTTTGATGTCCCATGCGACTGGGTCCAAGGCAACTTACGTCATCACCGGGTTTCCCAGGGGGTCCGGGTGGTCCTCGGGGACCCATTGGGCCCTGGAAAGATAGACAGAGAGATACAGGGTGAGAGCGGCGCAAGCACCTCCAGCCGGACGCCTGGGTTCTGAGTGGGGGAGAGACTGGAGATGGGGCAAAGTCTTCTCAACAGGGGAGGGTCTCAGCAAAGGATGGGTAAATGGGGAGGGGGACTGCCAAGAGGCAGAGGACTCTCCCTCAGAGTGGGATGGACTCAATCATCCTGGTGTCTGCTTCCAGTGACTCCACTCCCAGCTCAGAGACTCGGACAGGCTAAGTGCAGCCAGCCAGTCTGGGGAGAAAAGAGAAGCCTTCCTGAGCAGCCTGCGTCCCAGCCCCCTGGATGTGATGTCATTGCGCTCACATCACTGGGCTGCCTGGTGACATCACCCTAGAAGTGTCAAGCCCCAAATGCTCTAGCTAGGAGCCTTGTTGGTTCCCCCTGGCTCAGCACAGCTGATGGGGAAGGGAGACCTCCAGTTAGAAGAGGGGCTGCTAGGAGAAGCTCAGGGGCCAGTGGAAGGTGCTTATCTCTCCCACGAGTGCCACACTGCTGGCAGGGCACTAGTGGATGCTGTGCTGCCGACGGAGCCAGAATAGGTGCTGACATCAAGGCTTCCCTGTGAGCACTCTGCAGAGCCCCAGACGGCAAAGCAGGCCAGACCCTTGGTGCTCAGGTGTGGTCAAGCACTTGGAGACAGGTGCAAAATACAGCTGGGCGGCTGGGATTGCCCGGTCCCTGCTCCACGATGACCTCCATCCCTGGGTATTTGGCATAGCCCCTTTGCAAAAATCAGTGGTGCCAGGCCATGGCATGCAAGGATTGGGGCATCCCTGAGACCCAGCCTGCTCAGATCTGAATCCCTTCCCTTTGCTAACTGTGCCCCAAACCTGATGCAGCCCCCTTGGGCTGTACTGGAAACATCCTGGTATGGGACGTCCCAGCAGCCAGAGCCCGTCCGATCCAAGCTCTGCCTCTCACTCCCTGGCCAGGCCTCGCACTGTATGTAGCCAGGAGCTCCCTAACCTGCCTGCCTCCAGGTTCATCTAGCCCTGAATTGCTCTGCTCTGGCACTGCCACCCTGTGTCACCTTGATCAAGTCACTTTGCCTCAGTTCCCTGTGTTCAGGGAGGTGCTGAGTGTGCTCCCTCCCTCCTTGCTGGGGGTCTAATCCCCACCCAGCACACGCTGGCCATGGGCATCTCCATCACACACAGGGTCTGGCTCTCATGGACACCAGGACCCTTCACGCCAGGGCTGGCTCCCCACAGCTGCCAGGGCCTTGGGGGCCATCTGAATCTATCCTAGAGACTAAATTCTCTTTCTACAGGCCACACTCAGCATTAACCCCCGGAGCTGAAGTCTGAGATGCTCCCAATCTGCCTATGGGGTTTAGAAGCCCAATCCCTGTTGGCTATAATGGGAGCCAGGTGTCCAAATCACTTAGGCAGCTTGAAGCATCTCCTTCTACACTTTGTTCCCTTCCTTGGCATCCCCTCAGCTTTAACTAGTCAGGGTGGAACCGCCCGGAGGGAAGGTTTCTGCTGGGACGTTTGCGGGGCGGGGGGCTCCGGGAGATGGGAATTCTTGGAATTTCTCGGGAGTCAGGGCCACGGAGGCTGCTGGAGACTTGCAAGTGCAACCCGGGGGCATTGGCGTGTCGGAGCCTCTCCCACTCAGTCTAGCCACGGACGGCATCAAAGCCCGTCTGGTTACTTACAGAAGCGCCAGATTCTCCAGGTTCCCCGGGGTTGCCTTGAAAGCCTTGCGGGCCCTGAAACATATGGCAGAGAAGTCATGTCAGATGCATCAAACAGCAAAACCAGAGCCGCCGGCTCTCGCCTTCCCAACCCCCCAGGGGAGAAGAAACAGGCTGGTACTTACAGGTGATCCGGGAGGTCCAGGGGGTCCCCGCGGGCCCATGGGTCCCTGGAGGAGGAAACACAAATCACAGTCATGACGGGAAGGGCCAAGCCTTGAGCAAACAGGTGTGAAAGCTCCCAGGTAAGAGCCCCCACAGAAACCCAGCCTTTTTCCTTGTAGCAACTGCCTTGTCTTCTCCTTGCCCATGTACCTCCCACTCTCTGGATGTGCATCACCACAAGCTATTTTTATTTAGAGAAACTACTCCACTTAAAGGACAAGGAAAGAGCATGCGTTGCCCTGGCCAGGAGCCATGTTTACTAAGCTCTGCCTTTCATTTAGCGCTTGCCAAGAAAGACTGGAGAGCAGAAATTTCCTGCTGGAAATCTTGTGGGATCTTGAAAAACAGTAGCTGCTGTCAGGCTTTCTTCGGCCCCTGCTCCAAAAGTAACAGGGATCAAGCCTTAAACAAAATGCTCTGTTATTCTCTCCCAGCCTTCTGGGCTGGCCTTATTGAAACTGTTTGTTGTATGGCTTGGGATGCTCTCGCAAGCAGAGCAGGGACCAGAGCAATTAAGTCATCTTGGATATAATGACTTTAGAGGCATTTGCATGCACTCCAGTTTGTGACAGAATATCAGCAGAGCTGTGCGGAGTGACACTGACTCAGGATGGGGCCTGCAGGGTATAGCCGCGCTGGATGGCAACTCCCGGCGCTCGTTAGGTTCTAGCCCTAAAAATCAGAGTTCCTCCAGAGGTCCCAGTGCCACGCCTTACCATCGGGCCCTGCATCACTCCCATCTGAGCACCGCCAGCCTTCTCATCAAAACCTCCAGCCATCTGAGCAGCAAAGTTCTGCGAGAGAGACAAAAGCAGGGGCACAGCTGAGTGCAATTCTCTTTCAGGATCAGTCATGCACTTCAGGCGGCGACCTCGATACAATCAAATGCACTAATATTCTAAAGCATTGCCATCATTAAGGGGAAAAGGACCCCCCCCCCCACAGAGGCCAGTATAAGCAGGGCCCAAAAGATTCCTCGCCCTTGGTAGGTAATGGTTTCCATGTTTCAGAAAGAAAAAAAAACATATTCTTTATTAGATCTGATGTTTGGAAAGTTTTGAGGCCCAGGATCAGTTTGCTTTAAATATGCAAAAATATTCTAAGGTTTCATTTAAAATGTTCTTGAGATAAGAATGAGAGCCAGGCTTTCTCACCAGGGGTGTTGGGGAGGGAGTTTATTTGGAGAGTAAAAGCTAAGACTAAGAATGCCAAGGGATTTCTAGAGTCACTTGCTCTGATTATTTTTTGCTTAAACACCTTCTCTTAGAGGCAGCAAGGATGCTTTGAAAGACATGGCGACACAGATCTTTTTTTTTTAAGCTGCCCAACATGTCTCCCAAAAGTAAAGGACGATTGATTCATTGGAAGAGACACGAAGCCTCAGTCAGGGTGAACAGCAGAATATGCAGCATGTGAGGACAACAAGAAATGTGCCTCTAAAGGGAACACAGCAGAGTTAAATGTTTAACGCTGTTGTAAGACCAACAACCTGCATCCCTGGGTTTCCTTTTATCCACCACCATGTGGTAAGTGCTGCCCAACCCCTGCAAAGCTGGACTAGAGCCTGGGAACAGCAGAGTGATACTGAGGAGGAACAGAAGTGAAACACTGGGATCTTCCTGGGCCATTGATTTGCTGCAGCTTTGGGTGTGTGCAAAGGCAAGAACAAGGTGAAACTGACCAGCACCCCCAAGGGAAACTGACAAGGGCACAAGTGAAATTGACTAGGGAGTGTGTCAAGGCAAGAGCCAGCCACAGCGCATCATATGTCTTTATGACTGGATGGCTCCACAATGCCTGGCTCAACATAGCCCCCTCATCCCATCAGGAGCCACAGCAGTCATGGTAAGGGGAGACTGCCAGCTGGAGGGCCCAAAACTTATCCTTGCACTTTGCATCATGGAGGACCCTTAGGACTCCTGACCTTTACACTGTCCTAAAGGCAGGTGGTTCC